AATGAATTTTTACTGAAATCAGCCGTTTCAGGGAAGGAGTATGAAACCTCTACAGTGAAGAATGAACACTGAACTACAATGATGGAGATGTAAAGTAATAGAAAGGTGCACAGGGTATCATTATGGAGACGGGGGGACGTGGAAAGATACTGGACTGACCTTCGGCCTGAATGCGATGAGTTTCAGCACCATCTCCACTGTAAACAGTCCTGTGAAGACCATATTCAGGATATCCATGGCGTAATTAAATGGCTGGGATTGCTCATAATGCTTAACATAGAGAAGATCATTATTTTGATATCATCATCATTATTATTATTATCAATATTATCATCATCATCATATTCATTATTATTATCACCATCACAATCATCATCTTCATCAGCATAATCATCACCATCATCATCATATTCATTATTATTATCACCATCATAATCATCAATCATCATCTTCATCATAATCATCATCAGCAGCATATTCATCATCAATCATCATATTCATTATTATTATCGTCTTCATCACCATCATCATCATATTCATCATCAAATTCATCATCATCATATTCATTATTATTATCGTCTTCATCACCATCATCATCATATACATCATCAATCATCATATTCATCATCATCATATTCATTATTATTATCGTCTTCATCACCATCATCATCATATTCATCATCAATCATCATCAGCAGCAGCATCACCATCATCATCATATTCATCATCAATCATCATCATCATCATCATCCTATTCATCATCAATCATCATCATATTCATCATCAATCATCATCATATTCATCATCAATCATCATATTCATTATTATCGTCTTCATCATTATTATCACCATCATCATCATCACCATCATCATCATATTCATCATCAGCATCATAATCATCATCATATTCATCATCAATCATCATCAATCATCATATTCATTATTATCGTCTTCATCATTATTATCAACATCATCATCATCTTCATCATCCTCACCATCATCATCATATTCATCATCAGCATCATAATCATCATCATATTCATCATCAATCATCATCAATCATCATATTCATTATTATCGTCTTCATCATTATTATCACCATCATCATCATCTTCATCATCATCACCATCATCATCATATTCATCATCAGCATCATAATCATCATCATATTCATCATCAATCATCATCAATCATCATATTCATTATTATCGTCTTCATCATTATTATCACCATCATAATGATCATCAGCAACATTATTATTGTCGTTGCCGCCGTCGCCCCCGTCGTCGGATTTACTCTTTCTACTGACCCAAGGCCAGGTCAACTTAAAGAGGACCTGTCACCACCAATCTGCTATCACATGGGGGGCTTGTAAGTCCCCCCTATGTAATAGCAATTAAAGTAAAGTTAAAATAACAGTTCAATCATTTTTATTAGGTTTTCAAGTAAGTTCACAATTTCCCATTACAAATGATCAGAGGTATGCAGAAGTAGCCAAATAGGACACGTAAATAACTTGGCGATACATCTGCCGCGAGGCAAGCAAAGCGTTTGCCTTGGGCGGAAGTTTTAAGGGGGGGCTGCAAAATTGCAGTTAGGCAGTCGGGCGGGAGGCGGAGGGGAGGAGTTGGAAGACGCAGAGGAGGCAGCTAGGAGGCAGCAGTGGAGGAGGCGGAAGAAATGGTGGTCATGATGGAGCTGGTGGAATGGTGGAGCTGGAGAATGGTGGTCATGATGGAGCTGGTGGAATGGTGGAGCTGGAGAATGGTGGTCATGATGGAGCTGGTGGAATGGTGGAGCTGGAGAATGGTGGTCATGATGGAGCTGGTGGAATGGTGGAGCTGGAGAATGGTGGACGGGGAAGTCATGGGAGGCTGAATACTAGATAGGGTGGGTAATCAGGGATCTAATGATATCTTACCTGCATTGCCAGGGCAATAGTGTTGAGAAGGATGAGCACAAACATGATGTACTCGAAGCCGGTGGAGTTGACCATGTACCACACTTTGTACTGGTATTTGGCCTTGGGGATGTATCTACGCAGAGGCTGTGCCTTCAAGGCGTACTCCACACACTGACGCTGAAATGACACCAGAGGGTAACGGTCAGCCGTTAGTGTGTACAGAAGTCTCCGGTGCGGGACAAAGAAGTCCCAAGTCCATTACCTGGTTCTTGTCCAGCTCGCAGTTCTTGTACTCTTGCTCGCCCTGGGCCCGGAAAGTGATGATGACGAAACCTACGAAGATATTCATCATGAAGAATGCGATGATGATGATGTAGACGATGAAAAAGATGGAAATCTCCACGCGGTAATTGTAAATAGGCCCCACGTTTTCCCCATTGGCGTCGATGGCCTTATACAGGAGCCTATGAAGAGAATATGTGTAAAGTGTCACGGTACTAGATATGCGTCGGATATTACCAGAACCCCCTATACAGCAATATTCGTGTATAGCAGAGCACGATGCGGTACAAGCACAAACCTTCACTTATTGAGTTCAAGTTTAAAATCACTGTCTTAGGTAAGGAACTCCCCCCAGGTAAGCTAAGGCTCTCAGCTAAGGCTTAGTTCAAGGACTCCCCTCAGCTAAGCTAAGGCCTTCAGCTAAGGCTTAGGTCAAGGACTCCCATCAGCTAAGCTAAGGCCCTCAGCTAAGGCTTAGGTCAAGGACTCCCTTCAGCTAAGCTAAGGCCCTCAGTTAAGGCTTAGGTCAAGGACTCCCCCCAGGTAAGCTAAGGCTCTCAGCTAAGGCTTAGTTCAAGGACTCCCCTCAGCTAAGCTAAGGCCTTCAGCTAAGGCTTAGGTCAAGGACTCCCATCAGCTAAGCTAAGGCCCTCAGCTAAGGCTTAGGTCAAGGACTCCCCCCAGGTAAGCTAAGGCCCTCAGCTAAGGCTTAGGTCAAGGACTCCCCTCAGCTAAGGCTTAGATCAAGGACTCCCCTCAGCTAAGCTAAGGCCCTCAGCTAAGACTTAGTTCAAGGACTCCCCTCAGCTAAGCTAAGGCCCTCAGCTAAGTCTTAGGTCAAGGACTCCCCTCAGCTAAGCTAATGCCCTCAGCTAAGGCTTAGGTCAAGAACTCCCCTCAGCTATGCTAAGGCCCTCAGCTAAGGCTTAGGTCAAGAACTTCCCTCAGCTAAGGCTGAGAGGTTGTACTGAGCCTAGCTTAACACATGCGAGTTTTCCAGAAAGCTTGATTCACTTTTCTGTACCACTTCACAAACAAGAGTGCTAGTACCATCCCATCACGTGCATGCTTACAGAAAAGTATCACAAGGAAAGGCAGAGTTGGAACTGTGGACGCATAGGTGCACCGTGCCCCTGCCTTTCATAGTTAAGACCAATTATTCCCATCAGCTGCGTGCCGTAGGCACTCTCACCCGTGCATCAACTCCTACTATTCCCCACCTCCATTCATCCATACTTACGATGGCCAGCCTTCAAAAGTAGACACAGTAAAGAGCGCCATCATTCCTGACAGGACGTTGTCAAAGCTGAATTCGCTGTTGTGCCAGATTCTTTCTCGTACCATCGGATGAGTGACATCTCCCTCCTTGTATACAATGAATGTGCCCCTGCAGTGTAGATAGGATCAGGAACTGGCCGTATAGACACATATATATACCATGTGATAGTATACATTCCCTGCAGTACATGTGTGTAATTATGTGTCTTTGTCCCATTTTGCTCAATGATTATTGTACAAACAGGCAAACCTTCCCATATATGGTGCAAAGGGAACTGGAGGTTGATGCTCATAGCAGCCAATCAGACTACAGCTGTCATTCGATTGGTTGCTGTGTTCAACACCATTCCGGGTACCTTTGCTGTGGGAATTGCAAAAATGAAGCTGAGTGTTTTCTCGTGTCTGGTTCATCATTACCCTGTTTCCCCGAAAATAAGACCTAGTACTATTTTTGGGAATTGCTAAAATATAAGACCTACCCCGAAAATAAGACCTAGTTGTGTCAGACGTCCCAGGGAGCTAGTAGTGAGATGAGGAACCCACTGGCAGTAAGCAGCTGACAGTCCAGAAACGCGGTACAAGTTTAGGGATAATCCAAGAGGGGTAGTCAATGTCCAATCCGGGTCGAGGCAGGCAGCGAAGGTTCAAAGGCGGAAGACAGTCCAAGGGTCGGTAATCGGGAAGGATACAAAGGGGCAACAGGCAATAGGAGGATCAGCAGGGAGGCTAGGTGTTCACCATAAGGTGGAATAACTCAGCAATAAGCCAGAGCTCAGGCTAGGATTTTATAGCCAGGGGAGGTAGGACCACCCCCTGGTCACCGAGGCAACCAGGAGGCCTACCTCCCCGGGAACCAATGGCAGGCGAGGAAGATGGAAGGTGTGCACTGGGAACCTCCCCCAGCAAGGCTCACACCTGATAGCCAGATGATGCAGGAACTCTGCACCTGGTGCCCGAGGTGCTGGTGAGCATGCGCACACGCCGCGTGACTCGCGCATGCGCACCTGCACCTCGGGCACCAGGTGTTCTACCGAGCTGAAGGGGAACCCGTGCCCTGCGCCGTGCCCGTGGTCCCCGAGTAGAGGTAACACCCCCTGCTTCCTGACAAGTTGTGACCATTGCCAGGGCCGGCGGTGGCATAAGGGGGGAACTTGAAGAGACGCGGGAGAGAATCAGCAGTGCAAACGAAGCCGGCGCTAGAGGAAGCGAGGCGGCAGCGGAGGGAGCGGAGCCGCATAAGCCGATGCCTCCTCTATAGCCCCGCCTCCTGTCACAGGCGGAGTGATACCAAATGCACTCTGCCTGTGAGGAATCCATAGTGAAAGCGCGCTTCCCTCATTCTGGCCAACGATTGGTTACCAAATTGCTCTTAGAAAGGTACGGCACCCCTGATTGCCCTGATCACCATATTTTTGTACATGAATAAGTGCGGATTGTTGTACATTAAAAAAATTAAAATAAATAAGACCTAGTGTGTGTTTATTTAAGGCCAAAAAGTCTCTTATTTTCGGGGAAACGCGGGTAGTAGAATTTTTGGATTCTCACTCTGTAGTGTGTTGGAATATGTTATATAGGTGACAGGAGCCTTACTTGCATTCCCCAGGTCTGTGCTTCGCCTCATCAGTGCAGCTGAAGAATTTCCCCTGAAGAAATGGGACATGGTTAACGTTCCGTCTGCTATATGGACAGCCGACGACCTATACAGACTATAACCGAAGAGTATTAGCCAATAGGAAGTGACCTCCAGACTCCCAACCGATCAGAATTCGGCATTAAGGTGACTGTAGCCTTCACTTGTTGATTGGCAGCCTGGATTCCTAACCAATCAGGAAGCCAGGTGGCACATAATGACCAGCCCCCTCGGCTTCCTGATTGGTTAGGAATCCAGGCTGCGTACTAACAAGTGAAGGTGGCTTCCTAGCCATTCAGGAAGCCGGGAGGTGGGTCATGACGTGCCACCTGGCTTCCTGATTGGCTAGGAAGCCAGCTTCACTTGTTGATTGGCAGCCTGGATTCCTAACCAATCATGAAGCCGGGTGGCACGTAATGACCCGCCCCCTCGGCTTCCTGATTGTTTAGGAAGCCAGGCTGTCTAGCAACGAGTTAAGCTGGCTTCCTAGTCAATCAGAGAGCCAGGAGGCGGGTCATGACTTGCCACCCGGCTTCCTGATTGGCTTGGAAGCCGGCTTCCTTTGTTGCTAGGCAGCCTGGCTTCCTGACCAATCAGGAAGCCAGACGGCACCTTATGACTTGCCACCCGGCTTCCAGATTGGTCAGGAAGCCTCGGCAAGTGAAGCCGGAGTTCTGTCGCTAGAACACCAACTTCACAAGCAATCAGGAAGCCGGGCGACGGGTCATGTATCGGCAAGTACCGGGAAAAAAAATATCGGTACTCGTACTGGATACCGAAAAACCGGTATCGGTGCGTCCCTAGTTTTAGGTATAGACCCGCTTCAAATGGCTCGGCATCACTAGAACATTAAAGGAGAACTATGGGGTCAGGGCTTTTCCCCATAGTGCTCCTTAGGGTAACGGGAGGACACAGACTAGCGTCCTCCCGTCACCCTAGGCTCAGTATACTGCAAGCTACAGCTCCCTATATACTGAGACGCCGCAGCTGAAGCGGATCCCGACAATTATGTCTGGATCCGCCCAGCTGCGTGAGTGACAGCTGGCTCTGCCTATCTAGAGGCAGAGCCAGCTGTACCCGCCCCCTCCCC